CTCTTTCCTTCCAGTTCCGCCTGGTGGTAAAGACGGCGCTGAAGCTGCTGCTGGTGTTTGTGGAGTATACCGAATCCAACGCACCGCTTTTAATCCAGGCAGTATCTACTGTTGATGAAAAGAGAGGTGAGTAGCTTTAACTTGGGGGGCGCAAAATCCCCGCACCGCTGAGATCAGGGTGGCATTTCATCATTGATTTCAGTGGTTTTAGGGTTGTTGTCCTGATGCCTGCTTTGTGCAACATACCCTTCATTTCTTGATTAAAAGCATATTTCAAGACTTCATGCAATTTAAGATTGTTTTGAGGACTGAATTATATTGGGAAGGCGAAGAGTGAAAAGATGAGGAACCTGACTGCCTCCCAGTGCACCACGATCATTGCCCTGTCCCTGCACCCACCACAAAGTGAACCCCATTGCATCTTCCAACCTTGGAGGCTCCTCAGGCCAGACTGTCTTTCCACTTCCTTCTGAGAAGCAGCAGCCTGATTTAGAAGAGAAAATGATATCTAATCAGTGTAATCCCTTTGAAGAGAAAGACGAGGTCAGTAATAGTACAGGCTTTATAGTAAAAGTAAAACCATCTGTTGTTACATTAAAATAAAGCCCTTGAGCAGATATTATACTATGAAATCTGTTACCCTTCAGGCTCATGAAAAGTACTTGAATATGTATACTGTATTTTTTACAAATAAATAGAACCAAAATGGTTCTTTCTTGTTCTTCCCACAAAGCCATTGCTAAGCTCCTGGGGCGTTCTCTCTTGATGCAAAACATTCCTTTGCTTCAAGGAGAGTTTTTGAGGTTGGGAGAGCCATTGTTGTGGTCTCAAACACATGGAGGTTGAAAGCAAGATCCCCTCTGTGTAGCAACTGCCTCCATGCTGAACTTGTTTGAGTGACTTGATATGGTAAAAGTGAAACAAAAAAAATTGGAAGATGAGGTAGTGCCAGAAATAGGAGAAAGTAGCCAGGTTTTGCTTTCAGCTGTCAGCATGAGTGTGTTGAAAAGACCCCAAAAAAATCCCCCAAACCAGTGTAACGCTTTGAACGGTGGACTCTTCAGATTGGCTTTCTGTTTTGAATTAAAACCAATAAAACCTTACAATGCCATAAGCAGAAATGTAATTACAATATTAATGTAATTGTGAGTGCTATGATTTATTTTTACCGTCATCCTTAGTATTTCCTCAGCTCTCTGAACTCACTGGTATCCTCAACATGTTCAAATTGCCACCTGCTTGCATGCTATTAAACCACATTAAAGAAAAAAAGAGAGAGAAAGGAGAACCCTTAACACACTACCATGCACTGTGTGTTGCCTTCTGCATCTGTAAAACAGACTCAGGCAAACGTTTACATGCCCCAAAGTAATAAAACAACTTCAGTAACAACAGAAAACATGAGGAGAAAAAAAAAAAGTGATGCATGTAGTTAGATAGATACTCGTTAGGCACATGAGGAGAGGGTTTATGGGAATTTTCATACCTGTGGGTTGGCAGATTGTCTCATGAACTCTTGTAAAGAACTTAGCCCCAAATAACCAGTTTTCCTTCCTTTCTTTTTTTTTTTTTGTTATCATTAAACAGTTATGCTTAGCTACGAAAGAGGAGGTTTTTTTCCTTGTTATAGGCTTAGTTCCTTTTTTAGTCCATCAGTGTAATAGCCCTTCACTTTTGTCTGTGGGTGTGCTATGTTTTAATTTGTATTTTGAAATTAGTGTCTTATAACTGAGGAGTGCCTGTCTTTAATGACTGATTTAATGGGACAGAAATACAGAGGAAGAAAAAGCAATGTGCCTTTTCTTGAAACATCGTCATAAATCTTGCAGGTATATAATTAAGTTTAGCACTGCTTTGAAAAAACTCCAATGTCTCGTGTACATACAAGGTGATGAGATATGACATAATTCCTTAACATGTGTACCACACGTGATTAACATAAAGAGCCCCATAATAACTCAGCCTGGTTTCAAAGCGATCCCATCTGTGGTTTCGATGGAAGAACACATCCATATGCAAACTGAAGTACAGAGGTCTGCGGAAGTGCCAGCTTTGCTCTCAGATACAAGCAGACCATAAGTGAATAACTGCATGGCCCTCATCATATAGGAAGCAGCTTCTAGTTGTAATTCCATCTAGATCCCCCTTCTCCCACCCTTTCTTGTTTCAGAACCCCAGAGGAATTTGATCTCTTCTCAGTTTAAGCATAGTGGGACTGTGCGGGCTCTGGAAAGCAGAGCTGGCATCGCACTCTGCTCTCTGGGGCTGCTTCATCACGAGCGTTTCTTAGGACAGATTAAAGCTCTGTGGCTGACCTGGACCCTGTCACATAGTGTTTGTGAATTCTGACATCTTGTTACGTTTTTTGTACATGGCCCACCTTATCAGTATCTCCACTTTTCCTTCCATTTCACACATAGTTAGATATGCAGTAGATTAAGCCCATATTGTAGGTGTGATGGAAGCCTGTATGTTCGCATATATTTAAATAGCCAGGAATACAGGATGGTTAGGTCTTTCCAAAAGTATTAATATCTTTCCATGCTGTGGCAACTAGAGACAGGCGCTCTGTGAGTTGGTGGCAGTCCTCGTGTACGGTTCTGGCCTGATGCAAGGCTTTGCATGGTTTGTACATAATGTGCACGTCCTGTGTAGTTGTGGTGTTGAGATTTTGTGTAAGGCATTAAATTATTTTTTAATATTATTTTTTCTGAGATTCGTACATACAAACATTTAAAGGGGAAACAGAAAAGACTGAGACTTAAAACAATGGGCAATATTATTCGACAGACTATATTAATTTAATATAGGCTTAATTATTGCAACCCTGTAGTTTCCCACGTGTTTATGCTCTGTGCGTGACTACTTGGAGTGCTGTAGTAGCACCAGGGTTGAGGCTCCAGCCTTCCTGTCGGAGTCACCAGGATAACGAGCTGTCACCGGGGAAAGGGAGCCGAGCAGTTCTCGTTTCGCCCATTAGAAGGCAGGAGAACACACACAAAACTCCACCTCTGCTATCTTGCTTCAGTGAGCCCGTTTCATCACTCCCACCAATTTTGCCAGAGTCCTGCGTGGAAGTCATAACCTTATGGGAACATTCTGGTCTGCTCCCAGAAGAATTGCTGGGATGCTACGTCATCATTCTTTTACATCGTCATTCTTCTACATCACGATCAGGTGGAGGAGATAAGCTGGGAAGTAAACTTTGAGAATTGGCAAGTGTAAATGGTTACACTTAGTATTTTTAAAAACAAACTCTGTAATATACAAATATTAAATGGATTTACGTTTTCACTAGAAATACATATGCGTTGCCAAACCTAGATTTGAGTTCAGGTTATTCAGGATTCAGGATATATTCTGACCATTATGCAGAAAATGGAAGCTGTAGATTTTAGTTCTGCATAATAGTTTCTTCAAAGGTTCCTCTTCACCCCTAAATGGAGAGCTTTCAATATTCTCCACAATACAAATAGCCTTTTAAAGGAAAAGGGAAAATATACATCATGTTTTTCATATCTCTTGTGTAATCATCATTGTTTTACTACAGCAGCCAATGACTTTTCTAAAGTCATCGATTTTTTTAGTGTATGATCTTCCAAGGTATCTTTCACAAAGCTTTTCTAAGCAGCTTGAAAGGAGAAGGAGTTTTTTCACTATCATCCTATCATTAAAAAAAATATTGCCTTGAAAATCAGTTTTTTCATGTAGACACCAACCTGTGGTCTCATCTTTAAGTGGTGACTCTCCAGGAACAATATATTTGGAAATCCAAGCTCAGGGCATGACAGTAGATGAGAACAGGCACCCTCTCTAGATCTGCCCGTATCCCACGCTATCCGGATATTAGCTTGGAAACTGTAGGCTTTCATTATATGTTAGCAAGGAATATTAATCCAAGTATGGTAATGCAGTAAGTTCATGGCATGACTTCACACCAGAACTGCCTTGTCCCCAGGTGGGTAGATGGCCTTATGGCCATTTCCATGTTCATGTCTCGGCTGTTCAGCTTGAGATCATAATGAGGAAAATAGCATTTTAAAAGAAAGGTTTGATCTGGTACAGACAGGAGTAGCTTTGTCAAAGTCATTGATAGTACTGCCTCCTCAGTTATTAGTGTATTAGTTAGGGAATAGATGAAGAATTTCAAATTTAAGGCTAGATTTTGGAAATTAATAGCAGCACCTTACTTAAAGCCTTTGAAAGATGGATGAGCTATTACAAGACTGCCTTACTAGTAAGTGTGCCTCATTAACAGTTTTTAAAAATTTGTTCTGGAACAGAGAAGCAGCACAGATAGAAGAAAACTATATATCATCCTTGCAGGAAAACAGCCAGGCGATCATGAAAATATTCTTTTATGATAATGGGGAAGTATCAAGACATTCAGGAAGATTAAGTAATTAAATTTTTATGTTGTTATCAACTCACTTTTTTCCAAATAACACTGTTATAAGTCAGACTTGCATCGTTTCTCCATTTTGTTTCTCTTTCTTATTTTCTTCCATTTTTATTTTTCACTGG